ACCATATGCCCGATTGAAGATTCTGGGAATGAGCACGATGCTATTGGAAACAGCAATGATGCATCGTCAAAAGTTTTTTTATTTATTTTTTTCTAGTAAATTTGAGTCAATCGATTTAAAATAGATCTAGAATAGCATTGTGTAGATGTGTTTATGCACTATGATATGATAATAGGCAATTTTTTTAACTGGACTTTGACGCATTTGTGATGCACTGTATTCCATACTAGTTCCATATCTTAATTTTCTTGATTTTTACTAACTTTAGTTTGTATTAACAACAAATTTAAAATTGAGTGGTGATGCACTCTTATGTACCGGAGTAATATTCAATTTGAGACATTTTAATTTTTCTATTACCATTTTTGTGATGCATTTTTACTGGTACATATTGTATGGTCCAAATTTTCCTATACGGGATTCGAAGTCGCGCCCGTAGTACATGTCGCTCAATCATTTGAGCTAATAGACAATAATTTATTTTTCTAAAGAGATTTTCATCTTGCACTTGGAAGTTGGGTATATTAAATACACATTTTAATTTTTTTTAAGTTTACACCCCTCAAGGTTTCTAGCTCATATTAAAATAGAATTTCACTATCTAGAATTTAGAGATACATCATGTTTGTGTCAAGGGAATTTCTTCATCTGATGCATCAATTTTTTTATGAGAATAATGCAAGATCATAAAATACATCATTTTTTATTTTAATTATGTGAATGCATTACAATCTCATGTACATGCATTAGCTTAACCTCAAAATGCACAATAATAGAACAAAGCAAAGAAAAAGTAAAAAAGAAAGAAAGAAAAGCACAGCACTATGCACCTCCAATGAACACCAAATATGTGCCAAACCACTAGGCCAATGTGATTATAGTATATGCACCTACATGTTGCACTATCATCAAGTTCAGAATGCATTATTGTGAGTAAACAAGAAATGATATAAGGAATCTGGACTTTGGATTCCAAATCTGTGTCTCATTGATGCAAGAAAAAATGTAGAATAATAAAGGCTGATGGAGAAGAGATAAATTGTGGAATAAATTAAGGCGAGTGGGTAGAAAAAACTTTATACATAAAAACACCAAAATACAGAATTTGCACACTGCAAGAAAAAAAATGAGTATCAAGGTAATCATGACTTTCTTTCTCTTCAACCATCAAAGAAGCCTTCTAAGCAGCAACATGAGATTCTATCAAAAGCATTGTGAAACACTCATTATCCCAAACCAGTAGGCACATTTTGGGGTGTTTGAATATCAGCATCAGAATGAATTACAATCTGAGAAAAAAATAAAATCTATTTACAGTCTCTTCATAATTACTAACCCTACAATTATAAGCATGATCAAATTCATTTAATATAATGCAGAAGAAATCTTTCCAAATACTTCTAAATATTAAATGAGGGAAATCGTCCAGGTAGCAAAAAAATCAAGTGATCTCAAACACATGTTAAACCCATAGCAGCATCTTCCTTCTCCGACGAACGTCGAGCACAGGGCAATCGATAATCACCCCTTTCAAATGGAAAACGTAAATATGAAAAATAACAAAAATTGAATCGCAAGGAATCCAGAATAGACAAGTCATTGATGCATCTACACTTGTTGTAAATGCATCATACAATGGACATGTGTATGCTGAACTGTGCGAATAATGAATTATTATAGTGCACTATGTGAATATTATCATTCCAAAGTCTAGATTTTGAATGATTACACTAAGAAATACTTCGTATACCATAACAAGAGATAAAAAGACAATAAAAGAAACTTTACATGCAGTTTAGTGATAGATTTGTGTGATATCCTAGGCCAATAATGTAAAGAAAAAATTGTTAAAATATTGACATCATTTATAATACGTATTGCACATAATCTTGAACATGTTAAATACCGTTCAGAACTGATGCACCATAATGAAAAGTAAATCTTAAAATGTAGAGATAACCTCTAAAAAAGTAAATTTTCAAAAAAAAAAAATTGTTCATTTAACCACATAGAGACATATTTGTTTGATGTTAGTCTCTGACTAATAAAATATATTTCTTTAATTTCAATAGCAAATTAAAAAGTGCCAATGAGGGATTCGAACCTATATCTGTATGCAAAATGCATACCGCTCTACCATTTGAGCTAATTGGCAATGATTTTTAAATCATATATTTATATATGTAATGCAAAATCTTTATAAAACATTGAATATCTTATATAATGCACTAAAACAATATGCCACGGGGATTAAAAATTATAGAATAAATATAAGAAATAATTGAAGATGAAAGAAAATAATAATTTACAGACATATCACCTAAATGCATTAGATAGAGGAGAGGTGTGTTGGAATGCATGAGTTCAACCCTTTCTGTGTTGTTAAGTGTTGACTCACAGGTTTTGATAATTGACAAACACAATTTATTCAAGTCAAGATCAAAGTGCTACAACGACAAACACGAAGACTTGAAGTGCCATTCCTTGAAGTATTCAAGAAGGTGCACAAGATTTTATTGGAGTCCGAGACGCGTTCGGAGCGCCTAACGGAGGACTCGGAGGAGTAGAAGATTTCCGAAGACTTTTTATTTATTTGAGTCGTAGGAACATTTGTAAGGATGACAAAAATATCTCCTCTCCAAAATTATTTTTTATGAGAGTTAAAATAAAAATTATATTTATTTTTGGAGTCAGTTGAAAAATCATTTTAACTGTTCAAAATAGTTTTATCGAGTCAGTCACAAAAGGTGTGCCAAACATTTATCAAATATTTATTTTGATATTTTTGGTAAGCAAAAATATTTTATTCAAATATTTTTCGTGTACATCGTTTGACACAAAATATTTTTGGAACTCATTTTCTACACCAAAAATATTTTTTTTGTAATTCAACTTTTGATATGATTTCCTTGTCCAAAACAAAGCATTTAACTCCAAACATCCATCCCACTCGCACACATGCTTTGGGTCCTCGTGTTTGGGCTCTGTCCGTCATTGGATCGATCCTTTCTTGTGGATCGATCATATTGCTTTGCGCTCAGGGATTGGGATCGATCCATCTCCCTGGATCGATCCACCGAAGGCTTGCGAAAATCCGTCTCATGGTTTTTGGTTCCAGAGGATCGATCCCATGCTTTGGATCGATCCCCCGTGCTTTTGACACAAACTTATTTTCGATCCTTTACTCCAGGTGATCGATCCTCACCCCTGGATCGATCCCCAACGGTCCAATCTGTCAAAAACACTTCATCCCCACTTCCAACGGATTTATTTCTTTTTCATCTATTTAAACACTCTTCTCTGGTCATTTTTTAACAAGAAGAAACACTCCAATACTCCCCATTCTTGAGGTGTTAATCCTCCATCAATCTTTCCTCAAATTTATATTATTTTGAGAGAAAAGTATTTGTTTTTAAGAGAGTGTTTTGTCATCCATTAGAGCTTTAATATTTTCTCTTATCTACTCTTTTGAGAGCTATTGTTGAGAGGTTGAAGAAGATTGTTCTTCTTGTTATTCAAGGCTTATGTGATTTAAGTCTTGGTTGTGAAGTCTTGTAGAGAGCATATCTACGAGCAGTTGTGTCGAGGCTTGTGGGATTCAAGTTCTCGAGTTGTAAACAGTTTGTTAAGCACCTGTAAGCTTAACGGAAGTAGTGGTAGCTTCGAGAGAGTCTCTCGGGGAACTGGACTAGCCACGAGGTGGTGAACCAGTATACATCGGTGTGTTCTTTGCCTTCTCTATTTTATTTCCGCTGCACTTACGTTTATATTATTAATCCTGCGAAAATCGGTAAACATTCTCAACAACTCTATTCACCCCCCCCCCTCTAGAGTTGCCCGCCTTGTCTAACAAGGTGTGCAATACCCGTGATACAAAATGCTATGTGTAATAGAATAAAATGTTAAAATCTGACATTACACCAAACTCGACCAACACAAAGTGGGACTCAATAAGAGGTGTTAATTAAGGTCTAGAGACCACCTGCTAAAACAATGGGAAACTGATCCTTTTTCCATATACCTTGCAATAAGAGAAACTGCTACAGATTCATTAAACTTAGATAATAATGCAACATCTCACGGTGCATTTTGAAATCTCTGTGATGCATGTTTTTGCCTGGATTTTGCATTCTAAGAAGTGAAGCAAAAAAACTAACAAAACTTCAACAATAAATTAAAGCAACATGTCACGCAGGTATAATCTGAATCGTGAATGAATATGAAACATCAAGATGATATACAATTCAAGATTAAGAGAATATTGATATAACTTGAAAGGAATATAACTCCAATGAATACGAAGAGGACGATTAATATCGTGATGATGAAGAATCTCATAAAACAAACCTTAATCCATAAATGATGATTGACCGATGAATATGATTTCAAAAAAGATCCGAAGGAATTCCAAAGATCGGAAGAGAACATACGGAAGGAATAGATTGCAATTCCTATAAGGAGAGAGAGAGCGTCGTTGATTTGACTGCAAATAATCCGGATATGATGATCCGATTGGAGATAGTGGATGGGCAAAAATACATGTAAGCCCTTCAGCATTTGACGAATGAAGACATAGATCCGAAGGTTATTATTCATTCTTATTTCTTTCGTAAGATCTCTTTCTCACCAGAACCAAAACCTATATATATATATATATATATATATATATATATATCATGGCTGTTATGGCCAGGTTTTTAGAGCGAGAAAGCTCCGGCGAATTCTTCAGCGGTTGTCGTCGCCGCTTCAATTTCTGTCCGGACTATCAACGGCCAATCTATGGGTTCAAGATACAATCTAAGGTATACCCAAATGCTCCTTCTAGGCATCGGCAATATTATCACAATTCGTACAATAGATCTGGCTTCATTGGCCGAATCAGAACCCAAAGAACACTTCACAAACACAGTTCTTCGAAGCTTCAAAATCGAGACTTTAGATGGCCTTTCAAATCCCCTGAGGTATACGGCCTGAAAAACTCATATGTGCTTTCAGAACAGAGAATCATCTTACAGGGTCAGAAAGAACACTCCTCTCCATGGCCTAGCAAGAACATCAGCTTCAAATTCAGAATTCTTCATAAGGTATTTGAGCTTTTTTACTCAGTCTACAATAAGATCTTCAGTATTACTGATAAAGGGAGAAGAAACATACAATTATGGTTAGATTCTGATTCACTCACCTGGGTCATGGAATCTCTTCCTAGAATCATTTCCGGTTCTTCTTGGGCCTGTGTTAAATTGGATGCTAAGAGAACACTTGAAATTTTTAAAGACTCTAATCATAGGGGG